TGGTCTTCGGTCATTAATGCATCAAATCTTTTCTTGAGATAGTTACTATATTCAGACTGTATTTTGGCTTTAATGGACTCCATTTTTGCGCCCCCATAAATGTAGTCAATTTGATTCCTTTGTAATCCATCTGGCAAGGCCTTATGTGTACGGTTTTATGCTAATATGAAAATGTATAATGATCATTAAAACTATAAGTATATTTTTAATGATATTTGAAAAATTTCCTGGTGAATTTAGTGTACATGATATTGAAATTGTTTATTTTACAATTTAATGCTTCTAAAATTAGAATGGGAAGTAATGTTCTGCCTCAGTAAATAATATTTAATTTATGAAAGAAAAAGAAGTTTATCTACTAGAATTCTGAATAGACAAAGGTCAGAGATATTTTTAAATAATTTTCTTAATGCAGATAAGTAAAAAACTTGGTTCCTTCTCAGTTTCATCTGTGCTCTCTCATTAAAACATCAATACTTACTTTATTTTTCAACAGCATTCCAAGACTTTAGGCAATCAGAAACTGAATATCTCAGTTTTCTTATATTGTGTGGTCCGTTTATTATAAAGATGGCATTACTCTTGAAATGTCATATACTGTTTTTGCTTACAGCATGGCCTTTACAACCTCATAACTCAGATCCAAGCTTTAGCCCTGGCAGCTACTAGCTATATTACTTAGGCAAATTAGATGATTTCTCTAATCCTCACTTTCTTTATCAATAAAATAGGGAAAAAATAGTATAAATATACATATCTCATGAGGTTGTTTTGAGGTTATATATAAAATATACAGTCCTGCTTTGACTTTGTGGGTTAATATGCTGGAATGTAAAGTTGGTTTGATCAACAAGGTCAGTGATTCAGGCTCACACCCACTCCACGGAAACCCTATTCAAGGTAGATATGTATTGGAACTGACTTGATGACACTTAACTACAACAAAAACAACAATTATACATATATACATGTATCTTTTCCCATTGCTTTAGTTTCTCTTTGTTCAAGAGTAAGTTTCAGAGTCTTTTCTGATATCGACTTTTGACTTTTCTTTCTTTCCTATCTTTTTAATGACTTTTTGCTTTCATCATCTATATATTCTTAATGTCAAGCCACAAGACTTCTGGTTTCAATCATTAGTGTTTAATGCATCAGATCTGTTCTTGAGATGGTCTCTAAATTCAGGGCTCTAAACTCAAGGTTGTATAGATTTTATTTTGTCTCTCATGGACTTGTTTTAATTTTTTTCAGTTTCAACTTGAACTTGCAGAGAGGAGGCGGGGCTTGATGGTGGCTAGGGTGGAGGTGCAGTGAAGTTTGCCGTCAGCAATAGCACAGAATACCAGGCAAAGCAGATCCAGAGCAGAGCTCCAAAACTTGGAACCACAGAGATAGGACTATTTTAAAGGTCTGAAGCCTTATAGCTTGTGGAGTTTGGAGCTAAGGTAAAAAAAAATCACGTACTTTTGAATTTGCCGAGCTGGGCTCAGTGAGCCGAATTCCTGGGCGAGACCAAGTGGCAAGATGAAAGAGGGGGAGCAGAAACACTACGGAAAAATTCCGTGGGAAACTTGGGACAAAGGTGGACAATATACTTTGTCAGTTTTGCTTTGTTCTGATTTTCTTTTTTCTTTGGTATCTGGTAATTGGTGCACTCACTGTTTGACCACCTCCATTCTGGTGAATAGAGGGAGAGCCTGAGGTGAGTGGCCACCCCCCACCCTCATTGCTCTTAGGTTCTTCTGCCACGCATATGCACAGATACTCAGCCAAAGCAGGGACTCTGAACTTTTATTATCTGTTTCTTTTTTGTTCTGTTTTTTTTATCACAAGAAAGAGAAGGAGAGGGCTGAAGGGAGGGAAAGACAATTTAAAGGCAAAACAAGCCAAAGTTTGGATTGGAGCCTGAGGTATAGCATAACAACCAACACTGGCAACTCAGAATCTCTCAGGCAGCTTTGAAGGCAGGAACTTGAAGAGAGGTCATTAAAGTCATACTCATATTAAGCTATAGTTTTTTGTTGTTGTTGTTGTTTTTTATTTTTTTTCCCCCTTCTTTTCCTTCTCTCCCTCCTCTCCCTTTTCTGTGATTAGAGACTGCACTATTCAGTCTTGTTTTTGTTGGTGCTGCTTTTTAGTCTTTTTTCTTCTTCTTCTTCTTCCTTCTCTCATTTTTTTCCCACTGGTGTTGTTTTGCTGTTATATGTCCCCCCTTCTGCCTTTGGAGGACTCTTTGTCTCCGTATATTACACAAGAAGAGTCAGTAACTGCTGCCATATAGCCAAGCTACAATCACACTCTATAAAACACCAAAACCCAGGCAAGAACCAATACCAACTGCCATATACCAGGGAAACAGACAACACCTGTGAAAGTTACTCTGAGTTAAGCAATAATAATAGTGAAAAGGGAAGCCCACATCCTGATCACATCTTACTGGAAGCAATTAGAAAGCATAAAAAAGAACCAAAACACATACTCAATTAAGTATTAAGGCCACAGGTAAACATTAAACATGTCCAAGAAGCAAAAGTAGATGACTATATCAGCACATGTCCAGAAAAAAGATAAAATGTCTGACACAAATGACCTAGAAGTAGACCTGGACTCCATTTTGGAAGGAGGGCAGGCCTTGGAAATTCCTGAGAAAGAATTCAGAAAAATTATTATAAAATGTTTCAAAACACTTTACAGTGGAGTTGAGAAAAATAAGGAAGAAGTCAGGAAAGTGCTACAGGAACAGTCAAATAAGATAGATACAGCATTGGAAATAATTCAAAACCTACAGAAAGAGGTCCAAACAATCAATAACAAAATAACAGAAATAGAGAACACTCTGAAAGGGCAGAGGAGTAGAATAGATGAGATGGAAGGTAGAACCAGTGAGCTGGAAGACAAATCTCTGAATACCACTAAGATAGAAGAACA